GGCTGCCGCCCCTGCCTACCGTGCCGCTCCTGCTCACAGGCCTTACAAGGCCGCTGTGTCCTACTAAGAGGGAATACTAGCCCATATCACATATATGTATATCGGAAGACAGCTGGTGTGATATGTGATACCTGTACCTGATGAACGTGTGAATAAATGACGGAACTGAAGCCAGTCTCGTATCGGTCAAAGTAGGATAACATGGTTTGAGTAAGAACTTTAATCGATTGCGTGAAAGGCACCACAGATGCGTAACAGCCACAAGTGCAATGTTTTATGAGCACTATGCTCAATTGTCTTGCATCCATGTGAGAACGGACTGTAAGTTTGCAGGTTTTTAAACTTTATTTTGGTGCGCCTCTGTTGCAGCTGCGATATTACGCACCTCTTTTGAAAGATTGCAGTGAGGGAAGGAGCCTCACTTAGTGTGTGTTTAAGTTACTAACAAAATTATTGAATTTTGCAAGCAGAAAGTAGCGGCAAAAATCACAGCCTACAGCAGCGAGACAAGATTTTCGCTGTGATGTAGGTATCGCGTGGCATTGCGCATACTGCTAATGTTTAAGGCAGTTTGCTCCAGCATGTGTTCGTGCTGGCTTGTAGGGATAACCTGCGATATTTTCGTGATCTTTATCTATGGATTTCTTTAGAAAAAACTAAAGGTGGCTTTGCTCTGGTAAGATATAACCTAAAATTCTAAAATCAAACCTCAATTGAGCAAATTTCGATGTTCTATGAGCCATTCAGCACCGTGCATCCACACTGCATCAATGTTTCCATTCCCCATAGAGTCTTTACGACCTTATTTCGTTTTCATATACTTGTAAATCACACCACTTTCTTTCCCCGCAATTCATCGATCTTCATAAAAAAGTAATAGGGAGGGCCAAAATTCATGTTTGGAAGGGAGAGGGAGAACCGGACATGTTCTGCGCCTCCTCTTTAATACTTTTGGTGCTGACTTTAAAGTGCTATTGGTGGCCAGCTTAACATTTGGATGGGGGTAATTTTCCCCTCAATGAGCTGCAAATGTTGACGCATACCCGTCGCTGTTCGAACGCACACGCCATCTTTTTTCTGTGCTGTAAGCGGAGCCTGTGCTCCACTGCAGGGAAGTGCCGCACGGAGGCATTAACGTGTGAAGCCCTGAGCTGCGTTGTTTGCGTCAAGTTACTATGAAGGATTAATGGCGGCGGGGCCCTCCGACGTCAGACACAATCCTTGAGGCGTATTATTTGATGACTGTTGGGTGGTCGAGCCCAGAACGCGGGCTTGCATCAAGGCTGTGCGATCCAACTGCGTGCTCATCGCAAATTATGAGCACTGTCTCTGAATGAAGCCTTTTGTCTAAAGCCACATCGGTGACTGCAATTTTTCATTAAATTTGAAGTGATTTTTTTGGTATGAAACGGTCTTCTACTGCGGTGAGGAATACATATTGATCTCTGACTTGCGCTGGGCCTTTGGTGACATGTTTCATGATTTTAATCTTATTGGCTTGTGTTGCCCTGGGCGATGGTTTCACTACATTTGAACTTATTTGATAAAACCACCACTTCCACCACATGGTCACTCCGCGCCGCTGCTGTTTTTATCGAACAAATGGTCGCGCCTGACACTTGACGGACAGCGTTCATCTAAAAAAATGCACTGTATAAATCATCAAATAAGAATTAGGGGTTCCCTCGCCCTTCTGAAGTAGACAGGTATTCGTGACAGCGTCTCTGGCGGATTCATTTATCAGGGGAATTAGGGCCACAGTAGTGGCAAATTATCAGCCTAGGTCAATCGGACAGGGAGGGTCAAGGTCTATCAAAGGGCAGGATTCTGACTCCGCACTCATGTTCGGGTAGTATATCCTAACTGTATGCTCTCATATTAAACCGTCGACATACCGCTGAGAAAGGAATCATGGCGGCCATCAGTGGAACCCACACGTGAGCTAGCCGGCCGCTGATGGGCTAACCGGCCGCGCCGCAGTGCCATCGGAACGACATCTGAATCAACAGGTACTTCGTTGCAAACTTATCTCGGAGGGTCTTCTGTTACAAAGAAGCTAAGCGTAGCACCAGCACCCGATGTGTTTAACACTATAAATAGTATACCTCTTCGTGGGAGTGCAGCTTCGCAAACTACGTTGGGGACTTCAACAGGGGAAATTGGCACCCAAAATATGCCTAAAACCCGGTTTCTTCGGGAATTTGGATCACTTTTATAAACCTGGGACCTGTCCCCTAAATGAGCAGGAAACTAAATTACTTGCTCTTTTGCGCTTAAGGATCAAAATCAGGGACACTGTTTTTATGATAATGAACTCGAACTTTTTGGATCGATGGATTTCTGGGAACAGAGCTAATGCCATTCTAGGATTAGAGCTCAAGCCAAGCAGTGCTAGTTGTTTAAGCCCATACCTCTACCATCCGATCGTGCAGCTTCAGGTCAACAGCAGAATTTGGAGGTGAACGCTTATCCTGCCGCAACGCTCCGCACGGTCCGCCCTGCCCTACGGCGTGACATCTGACCTTTAGCGCGGCCGCTGCCACCGGCCGCAGGCCACACCTATCAAGCCCAAGTAGCGAGCGCCTAAAGTGGCCCAAACCCATCCCTCCACGTGAGGTTGAATCGAAAGGCAGGAGCTCTGACCAGCTGAGCTATCAGGACGATCATGATTTAAACGATTCCTGTGATGAAGATGAAGCAATACGACATGACATGATGAGCAGATTGGCGCAAAAGCGGAAATCTCAAGTTCAAGCGCCTCTTTTAACGATTTTGAAAATCAAACGGACCAGCGACACACCTCCCACACTCGGTCCAGCCTGCCGGCTGCAGCAGGCCACGCGTCCACCGCTGCTGCGGTTCGCCTTTATAGCCATCGCCGGCTGTGACGGACATCAGGCACGGTAACGCCACTCAGTCACTCCCAGCTATCAGTGCCCGCTACTTAGACAAATCGCTTGCTGGAAGGAAAACATGTTAAGAATCTTCTGCTATCTGCTGCCCGTTGCTATTTTCTAAGCTGTTAGGTCCATAGCAATATTGAATATCCTAGTTGGGCTACCAGTATATCCTAGTTGGACTAGTTGGACTTGGAGTTTGGGAACAGGGCTGATGCACTCTGTTTGACCCAGCACTGGAATTCTACTCTGATGGTAGACAGGAGAGCCCAGAACACAGTTCTCTGGCTCTTCATATGGAAGAGCACATGGGCAACAATTTAAGTGCTGTTGGATTTTGAATTTGGAACATACGGACGCTGAGATCTGACTCTGTCATTCTCAGCCGAACATTTAAGCTGTTTCCAAGCCTGGATCCAATCTTGTGATGCACTGGAGGCGCCGCCGCGCTACAGCGCTGGCGTACCTTCAGATGGCGGATCAATCTCTCGCCTGGATGAACAAAAAGGCTGGAGCGATGCCCCACCCGGGAGTCGGTCCATCTTTTCGTGTTTGATTGTGCGAAGGAGTTTTTGGTTATGTTGTGTTGTGCCAAACTATCAAACAAACTTCCAAGAAACCAAAGTCTCCCATCAATCTGATTTTATTTAGACTCGTATCAGGTACAGGTTACCAGGACAAATTTCACCTCACTTTGCAAACGTGGCAAATCATTCCCTCTTAGTACGCCACAGCAGGCTTGTAAGAAGGTGTGTAGGCAGGGGCAGGCTTGTAGGCAGGCTTGAAGGCAGGGGCGGGATGGCTGTAGACCGGACTGTAGGTAGGCCTATAAGCCGGGGAGGCAGCCTTGTAGGCAGGAGCGGGATGGTACTCGGGGTACTGGGCCTCTCCCTCGTAGGTCACCTCAGCGTTGTAGCCGCCGTAGTTGTCAGCGACGTACTTGACGTGCTGGACACGGCCGTCGGGCAGAGCCACCGAGTAATATCCCTGGGTGTTGTGGCCATCGCTCTCCTCCTTCTTGGCGAAGTTGGCGCCGGTGTAGTGGTCATTGACGGCGTAGTCATAGGCGAACGGCTTGGCTTCCTCCTTGTACTGGGACTCCGGGTGGTAGGGGGCCGGCTTGTAGGACAGGGCCGAGTGGTACGACGGGGAGTCGGGGGCCTGGGCAGCGGCTGCAACGGCCAGGACGGCGACGACGACGAAGACCTGCAATAGAATGAACGAACTGTTGGGAGAGCCAGACATGGAGGTCAGTGGTGATTGTAATAAAACGTTTTAAGGGGTTGACGATCAACGTCATTTGTAGCACATGCCAGTGACTGCACGCTGCACAAATTTTTGTCGGTCGAGCAATTAAGACACTTGCTCCATTCTGTGCCAGGGCTTGAACACCAGCGGAAACATACACACAAACACACACCTTCATGCTGTGTTCTTGAATGGCTGTTTACTTTGGAAGTGGTATCAGCTCTCATGGGGTGCTTTCTTTTATCTGCCAGTCGCCCACCGCACAGATACTCACTAAGGTCATGGCCTGGCCCAGTTTGCCAATCTCCGCCTCGTTTTGCCACCGGGACGTCTAGCACACTTGCAGTGCCCGCGATCGGGCACTGGAATCGGTTCGGGAACGGTTCGGTCATATCGGCTCGGAACGCTGTTCGCTGGACTGTGTCGCAGGCAGGCGTTGAAAAAGAAATGGAAAAGAGCACGTGGTATCAGAGATAAGACCAGGCCAGCCATCCCATTCTCTTTTTATTTTGTTTCTTCATGTGAGATCAAAACACAGTTCCACCTTTCCCTCCATTGTGTGAAATCACAAATCAGATCAGGGCAACCGTGCCATGCATTTTTCCTTTTTTCTTCAACGCCTGGCTGCGGCACAGTCCAGTGAACAGTGTTCCCAAACCGATGCGAAGTGCATAGCTTACGTGTAAACCGCTGTATCATGACGGCGCGAGCACTGCAAATGTGCTAGACGTCCCGGTGGCAAAACGGGGCGGCGATTGACCAAGCGGCCCGGCCGTGACCTTGCCTATCTGCGCGGTGGGCTGCTGGCCTATAAAAGAGCGCGCCCCATGAGAGCTGGTATCATTTCCATAGCGAACAGCCATTCAAGCACACAGCATGAAGGTGTGTGTGTGTGTGTGTGTGTGTGTGTGTGTGTGTGTGTGTGTGTGTGTGTTGTGTGTGTGTGTGTGTGTGTGTGTGTGTGTGTGTGTGTGTGTGTGTGTGTGTGTGTGTGTGTGTGTGTGTGTGTGTGTGTGTGTGTGTGTGTGTGTGTGTGTGTGTGTGTGTGTGTGTGTGTGTGTGTGTGTGTGCGCGCGATAGGTGTTCAGGTGCTGGCACAGAATGGAACAAGTGTCTCGATTGTTCGACCGGGGACAATTCATGTGGCGTTCAATCAATGTCATGTACAAGAAATGACACTAATAGTTAAACCAATTACGACGTGCAATTATAATCGCCATTGACTTTGATATGCAGGTCTCCCAACAACTTGTTCATGCTGTTGCAGGTCTTCGTTGTCGCCGCTGTCCTGGCTGTTGCTGCTGCTGCCCCGGCCCCTGACTCCCCGTCGTACCGCCCGGCTCCGTCCTACAAGCCGGCCCCCTACCACCCGGCCCCGTCCTACAAGCCGGCCCCCTACCACCCGGAGCCCCAGTACAAGGAGGAGGCTAAGCCGTTCGCTTACGACTACGCCGTCAACGACCACTACTCCGGAGCTAACTTCGCCAAGAAGGAGGAGAGCGATGGCCACAACACCCAGGGATATTACTCGGTGGCTCTGCCCGACGGCCGTGTTCAGCACGTCAAGTACGTCGCCGACCACTACGGTGGCTACAACGCTGAGGTCACCTACGAGGGAGAGGCCACCTACCCCGAGTACCACCCCGCTCCTGCCTACAAGGCTGCTGCTCCGGCCTACAAGCCCGCCTACAAGCCTGCCTACAAGCCTGCCCCGGCTTACAAGCCCGCCCCTGCCTACACACCTTCTTACAAGCCTGCTGTGGCCTACTAAAAGGGAGTAATTTATCATGCTTGCAGCGTGTTATGATATTTATCATCGCAATATGTACCTGATATGCGTCTGAATAAAACCGGATTGGTGGAAGACTTTGTTTGGAAGTACCCTGCGAGTATATGCTATAATACGTAATCAGCAATCATTTTCCAGAAGCGAGCTATTTAGTATGCTTAGCTTGACAAGTAGAAATGCTGCCATTTACTGTCCATTTTGTCTAAAACTGCATTACTGGCATCATGGCGATATTCAGAATGTAAACCGAGCAGGAACTGGATGACCCACGCAGAGGTCTTCTTTTGATTGGATGTCTCCCGTCGAGGGGGGCGATAAAGAGGCATAAAGTCAAAACATATTTACGAGGCATAAAGTCAGAACACATTTACGAGGCATATAGTCAGAACATCAGAACGCAATAGCATATAGCAAGACGTGTAGAAGGGACAAATGTCCCCCCCCCCCTCCCTCCTCTCCCTGTTGCCGGCAGGCAGGGCAGCAAGAGTATGTGCTTTCCCCAACCCCAAAATTTCAGGGGCCTTTTTTCCAAAACTAAAGTCGTTGTAACTACCCATAGATCACGAATATTCGTATCAGGCAGGCACCACACTTGTGTTGGAGAGCAAAAACTGGGCTTAGAAGACATTGCTGTACATGAAGAGGCTAGTTTTCTTGATCATGACGCCACCATTATAAATAAGGCGGCCCATGCCCTAGATCAGAAGGCATAATATAGCGATAAGGACGCCTCTTTACTGGCTCGGAAAACCCTGTTGCAGCCGATGAGACCACGTCCTGGGTTTGAGCCACGGTCATTATTCAGGATGCCCCATTTCTGGAACAGGACACCCCCTTTATGCTTCAGATGGCCGCGGTTTCTAATCAGGGTGCCGTGTTTTGCGATAACGAGGTCCCTTGGTTATATTTTGAGATTTCTTTGAGAATCGTCAGCGCCCTATTATGGACAAGGAATCCCCTCTATTCATCAGGAGAGCCTGTTTATGGGTTACCAACGTCCTTTGATGGGATGATTCGAAGGCCCCACTCTGTTCGTTATTGTCGTTGTCATTGGGGCTTTACGACGCACTCAGCTGCTGAGGCTATTTGGCGTCGCTTGCCTCCCTCCCTGGCCGGAAGGGCGGGCACCGCGGGGAATCGAACTCCGTACCTCTGATTCTCCAGACGCGCGAGGTTAACGCAGTCGCGTTCGCCACTACGCTACCCGCACACTCCCCCATTTTGTTTTTCACATTTATTCTCTTGGATATGGTGCATGTAACAGTTTAATAACAGACCACATGCCCTCGGTATACCTCTCCCTAAACGCGATACTGCCCTGGAGCCCCCCCCCCCCACCCCCTCTGCGAGGATGCCCCTCGAAAATCCAGCCCACCCCTACTCAAAATCCGTGGGGCCGCCTCGGGGGGGGGGGGGGAGGAACGACAAATTTGGCCAGAACTCCTGCGAAGTTGATTCGGATTCTCGCGAAAAGGCTGAGTTATAATGTGTGAGCCTTTTGGCTCAGCAGCGGAGTATATAAGATAGCCGGCCGCCATGCCTCCCCCCTCGGCTACGTGCCTGTGATGCCACCCACCCAAGCGGCCTTGCTGAAACCACGGGAAATAGCGTACAGCAACGCCGCACCACATGACAGATTGAGGACATATTCCCTCAGCATGTTTCGCAAAAAAATATTTTGTCCCAGTTTCTACGAGGCAACCGAGATTTTCATTAATTTCTGAGAAGTTATTTTTTTAGGTCCAATGCTACGGAAATCTCATTTCCTTGCCCTGTGTGGGAGATGCATGGTGACCTCTGGCAGTAAAACGGTAGATAACGACAGTTCTCAACAACATCGTTGATTCCGGATGGGCCGCGTGATATCTTGCGACCTTGTTGTGAATTCACATATTTACAAATTTGGCCCATCTAGCTTATTAGGTCATCCGTGGCTCTCGATCCCACACTCTACAAGCATTTTATTTGCCTTCATTCTACTAAGGGAGCCTTAAAGGTCCCTTTTATCAGCTCTTGAACTGTGCAACCTAGAGCCACCATTGGAAACTCTTGTCAGCGGTACCGGAGGGAGGTGACTGATCAATGACGACTGTGACCTGTGCAGGTAAAGTGAGGCCATAGAGGTCGGGCGTTGACTATCTTTCAGGGCGGTGCATGCGATGGGCAATAGTGAACAGAGACGAGTGTGCTCTGTTGTACGGCATGCCAACCCAGGGAAGCTGAAGCTGTTGCTGCATGGACTTGTCCGGCTGCATAAAAAACTACACAAATTACTGCAATGGAGAAAACGCCAGAAATACTTTTAACAACTGCAGATGCGTGCCCATTGGGCTCAAACTGGATTAGCGTCGAAAAATCATACCTGGTGACAAAATCAGGATTTGGCAAAGGTTGCCCTCAGTTCACCAGATTTATCAATCAGTTCACCATAGTAATTCATTTTAGAGTGACAGAGCTGAGGAAATTCGGTCCAAGAACCTCGTGCATTATCTTTGATTGTCATTGATACCTGAATGTAACCTCGATGACCCGACCCGACCTGACCCGACATGACCTCGAAATAACGGCATAGACCAACCGTCGCGAGTGTCATGGTCAGAAATCTCAGGCTGTCACAATGTGTGTTGACATGATAAAACTAAGTTTGCTAAAATTTCAGCTCTGTGCTGAAAACCGCTCGGAGGTTACTCCAGACAAATATCTCACGGGCTTCTAAGGCCCCTCGTATGGTGTGGGCTGTGTCTCAAATGGACCATCGCTGGACTCCTGAAATACCCGTCCAACTGCTGGATGGGAGAGGGATGAACTGATGCACAGAGGTGCAGCCAGTGACCATTATCTTTTTGTTCTTCCTGAAACTGATATTGGCAAAGTTTGTCACTTTATGGACCAAAAATATAATGTAATTAACACCACACTCGTGCCTCACTATCTCCCGGTCACCCTGAACGGTCACGGTCGAGTGAGTTGCTACTCTCGGCGTAGTAATTAAAGCAGCGCCGTGCAAGACATGATTAACATACTGAAACCGCTGATTGGCATCAAGGACTGCAGGGAATTGGCATGGTAACACGAAGCGAGCGAGGAAACACAGCAAATTAAGAAGTCGAGTTCATGGATGATGTGAGGCAGATACAATGAAAAAAGATATTTAAATGTTTTACATTCACTTTGACTTCATGCCTGGAAGTCAAGCGCTGAAAAACATTTCCCGAACGTGGTGTGCACCGTCCCAGTCGTCTTATGTGCACACAACTTTTTATCGCGGTTCGAGGTTCGTTGCCGTGAATGTACAGAAGCGTACATTCATAAGCATTTCATAAATTCCCAGCAGTTAAAACCACAGCGCTTCGATTTCTCAGGGAAGGCAGTGAAAAGATCACCCACCCCACACACCGGCATGACCGGTCGGCTCGGGCAGAAACAGTCCCGAAAGAGGTTGCATGCAGACTGGTCAGCTGTCTGTCATGGTAAGGCTCTCCGTGTTCTACACTTATGGTAGCGGTACCCAGCAACCCGCAGGTCGGTGTGTGCAGGTATGAGGACAGCTTTCGCGCCCCGCATGATAAGTGACCCACAAGCCGATACGGACATGGCTAAGTTTTGCACACAGCGATGAACAGTTTTTTTAATGTGACGTCTTTGTCAAAAGCGCGTTTAGTTCATCTTTAAAAGCTTCATCCATCCGCGCGGTGTAGTACAGAACACTGCATTTTACGACCGTTCTCGCTATTCAGATACCCCTTTACGACATACATGAAATTTTCGTGATCGCCTACTCGCTATCGCGTAGGCCTGCTATGCTGCATCCGAGCAAGGTCGACCCAAACAAGACCATGCTCATCCAATTTAGGGCCCAGCGTGAGTGCATTGTGGCTGGCTTCGTCGTAAATTCTGTGTGCATGCCGACCAAGCAGCCTAAGAAGGTCAAGGCGCTTGGTCTCGGGCATGACTCCGGTGCGACCGGACAATGGGACGACGGGGCGGCACCTTCGGGCATGCCGGCTCGCCCCGGGAATGTTGTCGCGTGCTTTCCCAGCGCGGTCAAGCAGGTTGTCAAAGAGCCGGTGAATTCCCACACGTACTCCAATCAATCTTTGTTTGGCCGCAGAGCTGTTCGGCTGGTTCAGGGCATCGCGGGGCTCGGTGGTTTCTAAGATGCAATGTTACTAAAACCGATCTGTTCGCACTAGCGATAGCTGGAGGAAACACACGGAGTTCGCGAAGAACCTTGGAGGAATTGACCCTAGCGGTGAACATCTTGTACTTAAACACGTTTAGACTTGCAGCATCTCCTGATTAAGATGACTGATTCATCCCGATGTCGTACAAGAGACCACAGCCTCCTGGTGTTTCCTGTTTTAATGTTGATGCTTCAGTGTGATGCCGGGCTCATAAGCACAATAGCCAATTTTAAATGCATGGCGATGCGCATACTTAGTGGTAGCTTAAGCTAAGGTTCAGGCACGACGGTCCTTTAAGCCAAAACAAATGTAAAATTGGCATTGGCTCCGTGGCTCCACGACTTCCATGCTGCAATGCATTGTCATCGAAAACACTTTCAGTATCAGCAAAGCAGTTCCACGGTGTTCGAAGGCAGGTGAAATATCAAACGGTTTTGTGCATTGAATTAAGCTAAGTCGAGTTTGTTTCGTAGATTGATCATCAATAAGTACTGACTAGTTTTGATAAGTTACAATCACCGAAAGCAGAATCCCTACACTTATGTAAACTCGTTAAACACAAATGGAAGCCAAATGCAAGAAGGAAGGGAGTGTGGAACTGCAAATGCAGAAAGTGCCTGGACTTAGTACGGAGTTTTCACGGAGTGTGCACTGCTGACATCGCGACCTATTCAATCATACCAGGCTTTCGTTTTCTTCTGGCTTCTGCACGTGTTACAACGACGTCCATAATGTACCTACGTCCGAAGTGAACAGGAGTTATGGCTGCTAGACAGGCACAGCGCGACCCGAATTTATATCACATTTTAATGGCTTGGGCTTGGACTCAGTTGGTCTCGGGAAGGAGCCAGGAAGCCGATGAGGATGAGCGGTTAGCACCAGAACTACGAGACTCATGTCCAGCATGGCACTGACAGATAGGACATGCCGTAACTTCGCGTGTCCAGAGGCCATGCGTGCGTGTGTAATCCAACACGACACAACAGCACATGCCCTGCTATCAGTCTCCATAGACGAGACCTCGATAGCGTGGTCGAACTGGGGCACGATAAGCCCGTGGGCGCGTCTGATGCCGGGCCGAGATGGAGCAGGCGGCGCGACCGGGAGGGGGTCCCGCGTGCAGCCCGGGGGCCGCGCCCACGCCCGCCGCCCTGCCCCGGCCCCCGGCGGCCGCCCCGGGCGGCGCTGCCCCGGCGGAGGCCGGCGGGCCGTGACCTCCCGCGCTCCGGCTATAAAAACTGACGTCCGCCAGCGAGCGGCACCAGTTGCCCTCTAGCACGGATCCAACCAACATGAAGGTATGGAGCGCCCACAGGCGGCAGCTGCCGCCGGCGCTGAAGCGAGACGGCGGCGGCGGCGCGGCGGCGGCGGCGGCGGCGGCGGCGGCGGCGGCGCTCGTAGCCCGGTCGCCGCGAGTCGGCAGCGTGGAGCGTGCGGTGCCAGCGTGGTGTGCGTGTGACGGGTCTCATATGCTTCTGGTGCTGAAGTCTGCTGCTCGCAGTTCCAACGCTGTCGCCCCGGGCAGAGTGCTTTCGTTCATCATACGTGGCGTCAAAAGTGCAGTGAAGGTGCCTCCTGGCCGGTGTGATAGTGTGTGACGCCGTGCAGGGACATCAGGACAGAGCTTTGAGACATCTCTCACGCATTATGTCGCCTTGTTTCAGGTCTTCATCGTCGCCGCCGTGCTGGCTGTTGCCGCCGCCGCCCCGGCCCCGGAGACGCCGGTGTACAAGCCCGCTCCGGCTCCCTACCACCCGGCCCCGGCGCCGTACAAGCCGGCCCCCTACCACCCGGCCCCGTCTTACAAGCCGGCCCCCTACCACCCGGAGCCCCAGTACAAGGAGGAGCCCAAGCCGTTCGCCTACGACTACGCTGTCAACGACCACTACACCGGCACCAACTTCGCCAAGAAGGAGGAGAGCGATGGCCACAACACCCAGGGATATTACTCGGTGGCTCTGCCCGACGGCCGCATCCAGCACGTCAAGTACGTCGCCGACCACTACGGTGGCTTCAACGCTGAGGTGACCTACGAGGGTGAGGCCCAGTACCCCGAGTACCACCCCGCCCCTGCCTACAAGCCCGCCCCCTACAAGCCTGCCCCTTACAAGCCTGCCCCTTACAAGCCCGCACCGGCTTACGCTCCCGCCTACAAGCCCAAGTACTAAGCAGTCCCATGTCTGAGAAGAATGTTAGTGTTGTGATATTTATCGTGAACGTCTGTACCTGTTGTACGTTGTAATAAAAGCCAGCGTGCTCACTTGACAGCCGGTTATCTGAGGTTGACTGGCGACGGAGTCCGCCCGTTGGTCGTGATAACGTTGAACCTTTCCGTACAGGCATGCAGAACGCACAGGTGCCGCGTGCATTTCACTTCCTAGAGCAGTCACCTGGCAGGCTAAGTGCTGTTATGGTCTCGATACCCTATGCAGCATTCTAACAAGTGATAGGCTGTGATTGCAGAGCCCGAGAGAGGGCTCCCGTACAGGGTAAGTCTCAGTAGCGGAAGACTCCCAAAACATGTAGTCCTGTCCCCCACTCTGCAGTTTCGTTAGTCCCTTGGCCCTGCTGCGGCGGGTAGTGTCGGCCAAAAGAGCATAAATTCAAACAAAATCAAGAGCTCTTCATCAGTGAAGAAAGGTGAAATAGCACTAGTCGGCAAAAGCTGAGATATCTGTCAACAAAAATTATCCGAGTCAAATGCAACCCTAGGCGTCTGTTCTCGTCGACCGAGAGCATTAAGCATCTAACCCCGGAGCTTTACCTGGAATATCTTTTGACTGACGCAAGGTATGATATTGAAATCGTCAGAATTCAAGTTTTCAACATCTTCACCTCATTGAAAAAATCGCAACGACAGTGCCTTTCTAGGGTGATTTAATGATGACCACTTGTGAGATTATCGGTTGCATTTCGCACTCGGGTGTGAAATAATTTGAGTGTATTGAACACATTCGTCATGAACTGTTGATATGCATCAATTTGCATTATCATGCTACAGTGCATGATGCAGCTCTTTTCATTTCAATAAGGTCGGGTTGTCCAAGGTGTAAGTGAGTCGAATGCGACGGGGTACTTGTGGTATTGCGGTTACGTTGCAGTCTCGGAAACCACAGGCAAGTGGTTCGACTCCCGTGGTTCTCACCCTTCCTGCTGGGGCGAGAGCCTGGCGACGCCATATAGCCCCAGCAGCTGAGTGGGTCGTAAAGCGCCAGTGACAAGAACAAGTCAAATGCGACGGATGAGAAAATATTTTCCTGAATAGTTGCCATTCCACGGCCAAACGGCTCACAGTCTCATTTGTTCCATTGTGGCACCACGCTTAGTCCGTGAAGTGTCGATGGTGGGGATTTTTGACACGAGACATGACCCGTTTGACCCAACGTGACAAGTCGAATGTCACTGCCACCGACGGTTTAGTATGGAGCATGAGCTCAGCGTGCCAAGAACAGCCGAACACTCAGTGGTGCACTCTAGGAATTTCCCAGAGTCCGCCATCTCCACTAGACGCGCGTGATCGAGCCGGAGGTGGCTGCTGCGGCGTCCGGGCTGACAGGCTGCGGCTCACTGATCCAGATGTAGGCTGATGACATGGGCGGTTTGCGCGAATGTCGAGACCTGGTCGAGATGCGCCTGCACAGCTCTCACTCGCTGATAACGCGTCCATGGACAAGCACGCATGACATTGCCACCGGTGTTGCTTGGCGGTGGCACCCCACAGTCAGAGAAAACAGCGCCAGCGTCGAATTCAGGCGGAGAGCAAACTGACGGGAAGGTGCGCACCTCCGCAGCGTTTCCAATCCCGACGTACCGCAGCACACGCGGCAGGACTGGCAGCGGAATCAGTCGCACTTTACCACTGACACAGCACAGCCTCACGTCCACGCCCTCGCATCACAGCGGCATCACAGAACGCACGCAGTCGGTTCGTGACACCAATGTCGTCATTATTTACCACCTGCACCGCTTCCGGTCAGCCAGCACCGCTTCCGGTCGACGATTCTCGAGCGAAGGCGTCTGTCCACTAGCGACGAATCATCGCTACAGCTGGCTCCGAACATTCGCCTCCCCTCGGGGCTGCTGCTCCCGCTCCTGCGCAGCTCACCGGGGACGCAGCCGCTCAAAGTTGGCACGCAGCTCTGCAGGCCGCTCCCCCTCGCTGCGCGAACCTCTGAAGCTGTCACCGCTCCGTATCTTGCATCTGCCCCCCCCCCCCCCCCTGGCAGCCACCTCTCCCTGGCGTGGTAGCCCGGTAGCTCTCGCCGTTTCGCGCTCACGTCGGGTGCAACACAGGCCCATGTTTCTCTCCACCTCCACCGGGCGGTGTTCCTCGGCAAAGCGAGCACAACGGCGACGCTGAGCGGCCGTCTGCCGTCTGCCGCCTGCCGTCATTTAACAGAGGTACTAACTCTTCACAAGAGTTAAACAATCGCACCAGAAACGCTGGCACTGCACAGCGTCAAGTATTTCTTCTTCATCCCTAAGGAAATGGTGTTAATGACTCGCAGGAGTGTGCGCAGGATTTCATAACGGGGGTGCAAGATAAAGACAATTCACTTAAAACTGAGTTAAGCGTACAACGGGCGCAAACGACTTCCTGCATTTTATATGACAGTATGGGATGTCCTCGACCTGACTTGTACATGTCTGCACGGAATGCTTAGCTCCCAACATTAAGTGACGTGCATAACAATGCTTACCATAAACTTTGCATGGCCGGGAAGGGGCACGTAGATGAGGGGGGGGGGGATATGTTCATTGTCGTGCCTCTGAGAGTTTTTGCGCTCAGCTTATATTCAGATTAGTGCTATTGCTAAGTGCTGTGAGTGACATATTTCGATTCACAATAGAAACCCTTTGCAGTGGCTGACATTCCAGATAAAAGCAAACACACTGAAAAGCTGCTGAGAATCCCAGCTTGCTCCCAAAGTCCGTCCGGTCCACCAATTCACGTGCTACTGCCACGGGGACGATCACAATTATATCTCGTGTCTCTCACGGGTGACCTGAAGGCCACATGTGCTCCAAACTGTGCGAAGGTCTTTTCTCAGACAGGTTCGATGCGGTAAAAATTGCGATTGCTGCTCTTGCCGTTACCAGGTGGCTGCCTGGAAAAGGCGGACGAATGGAACGCTCATACGGAAGTTTTGATACCAAACTTGCTGTTGCTCCTGCATGCTGTGTTTTCATGTTATGTTGGAATGGACTGACAAGCGAGGCATTCAAATCCACCGTCATGAGCATGTTTTGTTTTTCCTGGATGTGATCAGATTAGATTTGTAAACAAGGTTTGATGGTGCGCGCGTTGGACATAAAAGCTTGTACATGGATCGAAGTGGATCCTGAAAATTAAACACATGACAACGAGTTTTAAAAAAATTTTAAAGATGGGCCAATGGGGCAAATACCGCTCCCTAGGTAAACACATCTTGACTTCAGACACTATTTGTCACATTTCGGGAGCTGAAACCAATTGCAAATCTGAAAACCCACCCCAACCCCGCTTTGCGTAAATCGGGGTGCATGTATAGAGAGAGAAAACAAGATAGATGTCGAGGAGTATCATGCAACCAGCAGCGGCGACTTTACCTTCGGAACTGTTCTGATTTCAAGCTTTTGCAGGGAAGATCCGACGCGCCGCCGGATATCCCAAGTCCAGACATTGGGCGGGGCATCGGATCACCTCCCCCCCCCCTACCTGTGCCATAAGGTCCAGATTCCGGACCGCATGTCACAGGTTCGGTTCAGTTCCGTCATCCGGCGAACATGTGGCGTTAGATCGCTTTGTTAATGGTCAGCTGACAATGATCTTTAATATGCATGGGGACTTCATCGTCTATTTCCCGACAGCAAATGTTCCTCGGCCGCCAGGTCAAGGAGGTCAGAGAGGTTTGGTCACCAGAAAGTAATGCCAACAATTAACATCGAATTTCGACTGAAAAAGCTCAGCTGGATGCACTGCACGACTTCTGCTTCCCTCCCCTACACACCCCTGGTCAACAACGCCATATGGCAAAATGGCGATGCTAAAAACCGTGACACATTTCAAGGAAATCCCCCTACTTTTCACGAGTACGCTCGGTGGGACTGCCAGTACCGCTTTTTGAGGTTGTTTCTACTGACGTAAGCCATAGCTCACATATAGCCCTGAAGACAAAACGAGGTCCAACTCCACATTTCAACCCGCTGGGCTAGTTTGAAGTCTCAGGTTCCTTTGCAAGCAGCCATTCATCTGATGAGACCCTGCGCCTACCCAAGGACACTCCGCTTGGCTCAGCATGCTTGGTTTTGAGATGAGTTTCAACCGCACAGAACACCCCAGCCGATCATTGCATTGATTCTGATTCGCCGTTGGGGCCACTGCTACTCCTTTGGAATAGTATGTTTGTGTTGCCCGAGAGTGAAGGAGAGTACGAACTGAGACAATAATGTGACCGGTTCCTGATGGTGGTAATTTATGCTCGTAATCGCTCATCTTGCAAAAATGCGTGTAGGTTTCCGGCGATGTATCATGCAAGTTGATTAAACCATGTTTGAGCTTTTATTACACACAACAGACACGGACAAATACAATAAATATCACGCAGCCTAACTCAGGAAACATTTAATACTTCGGGGCGGGCTTGTAGGGGGCCGGGGCCGGCTTGTAGGCAGGAGCAGAGTGGTACTCGGGGTACTGGGCCTCTCCCTCGTAGGTCACCTCAGCGTTGAATCCGTCGTAGTGGTCAGCGACGTAGTTCACGGTCTGGACACGGCCGTCGGGCAGAGCCACGGTGTAGGAGCCCTGGGTGTTGTGGCCATCGCTCTTCTCGTTCTTGGCGAAGTTGGTGCCGGTGTAGTGGTCGTTGACGGCGTAGTCGTAGGCGTACGGCTTGGGCTCCTCCTTGTACTTGGGCTCCGGGTGGTAGGGGGCCGGCTTGTAGGGGGCCGGGGCGGGGCGGTATGAGGGTGACTCCGGGGCAGGGGCGGCGGCAGCGACGGCCAGGACGGCGGCAACAACGAAGACCTGTGAATTCAAAACAGCGGGCCGTGGTCAGAAAACCAAGTGATATACATGCAGTATATATACAAGCTACCAATTTTTCTGGATTGTCCTCCGAGTCACTTAAATATTGCATTGCAAAATAGATACAGGTGGTGTCGTGCGTTCGCTGTTTCAAGGATACAGATCAAGGCAAAATATCAATGCGTGTATTCGTGGGCATTTTAAATGCTTGATAGGGGTGCAAAGGTGGAAGGATACAAGGTGAGGGAGAAAGACAGAAAG